TTGGCTCAGTGGACAGAGCATCGGCCTGTAGACTGAAGGGTTCTGGGTTCTATTCCAGTCAAGGGCACATGCCCAAGTTGTGGGCTCGATCCCCAGTAGGAGGGGTGCAGGAGGTGGCTGATCAATGATTCTCTCTCATCATTGATGTTTCTATCTTTCTCTCCCTCTCCCTTCCTCACAGAAATCAATAAAAATACATTTAAAAAAAATTGCAGCCCTAACCGGTTTGGCTCAGTGGATAGAGCGTTGGCCTGCGGACTCAAGAGTCCCAGGTTCGACTCCGGTCAAGGGCATGTATCTTGGTTGCGGGCACATCCCCAGTGGGGAGTGTGCAGGAGGCAGGTGATCGATGTTTCTCTCTCATTGATGTTTCTAACTCTCTATCCCTCCCCCTTCCTCTCTGTAAAAAATAAATAAAATATATTTTTAAAAAATTGCAGGTAGAGTGTCTGGCACATAGTAGGTGCTCAAGAAAAGGGCCCCGCTCCCACCCCTCTCATGGGCACACGTGAGCAGCCTCTGAAGCCATTTGCCAAGCAGCTGTCGCAAAGATCTGGGCTGCTGTGTTCTCCCTGCCTTTTCTCTCTCCGAGGGTATTTCTGGGCCTACTCCTTTACTGTTGTCCCCTTCTCATTCTTTTCTATTTCAGCACATCTTTTCTCTAAGTGGATGCCAAGTGGGTTTTGAGAGGATGATGAGCTCATTGGGAACTGTCAGGGAACAGACGGAGGCTTTGGTGGCGTGGGGAGTGAACGGGCCTCCCAGGAAGGGACTGAGGAGGGGGCTCCTCCTGGGAAGGGGGTGCTGACTGAGCCTCCCATACCACCCTGCCAGTGCTGGGAGGCAGGGGCGAGTCGGGAGGGAGAGCAATCTGGATCTGAGCCCCACGGGGTAGGACCGTGTCTGTTCTCTCACTGTGTTAGCCCCAGCATGTGGTGGGGTGGGTCCCCAGGAAACACCAGTGGGGGAGATGAATGCAAAGAATCAGGGACCAGCCTCCCCATCAGGGCTGGAGCTACACCCACGGCTCCACGCCAGGTGTCAGAGCACCCGGTGACCGCCTCAGAGCACTGTCCGTTCAGGCTCTGTGGAGGTGACATCCTGCATTACTCAGCTCTGGCTGGGCCAGGGGTTCAGGGTCCCGGCTGAGCCGCAGTCGCACCTCCCCAAGGGAACCCCTAAGTCTTCTCTGCCTCTCATATCCATCCATCATTTCCGCCCCACACAAGCATCTCTCTCTCTCTCTCTCTCTCTCTCTCTCTCTCTCTCTCTCTCTCTCAGACAGAAATTCTACCCCAAAGATCATGGGGAAATGAAGCTAGCTGCCACTTGTTGAGCGCCTACTGTATGCCGGACACTATTTAAAGGTTTTACAAACACATTCTTACAACCTTGTCCCTCCTGGCAGCCTGTGAGCAGCTGTGAAGGTCCTCCCTGATCCACAGGTTGAGCATCCACAGCCTCGGGTGGGGGCTTGGTTGGCCTTCCACAAGCCCCTCCGCCCCGCAGTCTCCACTTGTCCACTGCACGTGGGAAACCGCGACCGCATTAGCATCCTCCCTGGTCAGCGCAGCTATGAGGCCAGGGCAGGTGTCATCACCTCTGAGCTGCAGCTTTCTCTCCATTAAGTGGGGTTTGACCGTAGACTCTCCCTCCTGGGGTTTGGGGAGGATTCAATGAGAGGCTCCCTAAGGCTGGACGGAGTGCGTGCTTGCTGAGAGCTGGCAACCATCGCTTCATCCCTCTTCGTTTTACGTGAGACCCCTCTGAGCCTCAGTTTCCCCGTCTGTCGAGCATGGCAGATGGCGCCTACCTTGCTCCCCTCCCAGGGCTAGCGGGAGTTTCTACAGGGACACAGCCCAGGGTCCCCCTTGGCGGGAATGGTGGCATTTGGTTACTGCAGCCCGTGTTTCCAGGCGGAGCTCTGAATGTCTAAACACAGCCTATTTTTAGCACCGCAATGAACCTCTGGGGTTAAGCTGCCAAGAAAATGACTGGCGGGCAGAGCTGCCCTGCGGGAAGGGAACACAGAAGGTGCGGCCGGCCTCGCCCTCCCTCCCCTGAAAGGGCCACAGTGCTGCTCCTTCCAGATTCCGGGGCAGGCAGATCTGGCTGGAAGCCCGTGAGGCTGGGCAGCAGTCCAGCCCTCCCTCCACAGCCCCCTGGACTCTACTTAACGGCACAGGATCGGGGACCAGCTGACCCCTTGGTCATCCAAGCTGGGCCAAGATAGATCCTGAGAGAGCGGTTTTGTGATTTCTTCACAGTTCTAGGTAGGAAGGCAGCTGGGGATGTCCAAGACACTGGGAGCCCCGGGCAGAGGTGAAATTTTAGTCTTGGTCTAATGATAAAAATATCA